TATATATAATATGTTTTAATGATAAAGTTCCTGTGCTGCTTCCACAGGGTTTAGGAAAGATGTAAACACAACTGATTAAATGATCATCAACAGGGTGACAGTTTCACTAAAAATAGGAGTTTTGTCAGGCTGAAGTCCGCAGTATACTCCCGCGTACATCTGTTCACACGTACGTACGCATGTACTGTACGCAGAGGGTTCAGACTTCATACTCGAGCGTACACCCTGAGCAGAGCAGCTTCACAGACAAGGGGCGTTTACCTTTGGGACAAATTGAGGTCGCCGATTGGTCATTTGCTGACACGCCTACTGGATTGATTGACAGGTAAAAAAAAAATAAAATAAATAAACGAGAGCTGGCAGCCTCAGCCGCAGCGGTGTTATGTGTTTATATGTTGTTAATAAAAAGATCTAAAAACTACAGGGAGCGCTGGTCCTGCAGCCCACACATCAGACCAGCCCAACAGGAAATCTCCAGACCCTCCCGCAGCCACGCTGGACCTGAGTTTATACTTCGCTCCTGACAAATTCCTTCATTTCTCACCATTTCAATCATGGCATCAACAGAGGAGGAAGAGATCACTTGCCTTTTGGCAAAAAAAAAAAAAAAAAAAGAAGGCCAGATCAGGGATGAAGAAGGGGAATTTAATACATTGGTGTCGCATACAAAACAGTCTGTCGCCGGGCAGTTTATTGTGCGACACCGCGTACGCGGTCGTAAAACTTGAGCTTTGCACGACATGCCCTGTGGGGGTATGCTCGTACCTCCGCGTACGTACATGCGTATCTCCGCCTATGGACGTACGCGGGAGTATACTGGGGGCTTGAAGGTCTGGAGCATACAGGTGTGTGTGTGTTAACACAATGTCAAGGAGAAAAGACATCAGTAATAAATTTAGAGAGGCACATGTCCCTGTCTTTCAATGTAAAAATAAATATTAGGACATTTTCAAACAGTTTATAATGCATTCCTCTACAGAGAAACATTATTCACATTCAAACAGTATTAAAGAGTCCGTCCTGCTAGGAGTGGATACCTCAACAATTTGACCCCAATTTGAGACTGTGTATTAAAAACAAACATAAAAAAAAAGACAAAAATCCAATAGCTCCATCTCAGACTCTACAGTTAGCAGGTTAATGGTTGAGAGGGCAGTTAGAAAACGACAAACTACTTGTGTGCAGTGGTTTGAGCTGGAAGGCTGCCTGATTGCTTCCCACATATGGCCTTTCTTTGTGGAGTTTTCATGTTCTTTCTGTGCACAAGATGTCACGTTCTGGTGTAGTTCAGACCCAATGGTGCAGGCAGCACGACGACTCGGTAGGTAAAATAATAATGTTTAGTCCAAAGAACACAAAATAGCTGACAGAGCTGCAAACATTACTCAGGGATCACTGGAAACTCAGGAGAGAGAGGCAACAGGAGACAATGCCAGGACAGTGAAAAACACAAAGACACAGACTTTAATACAAACACTAATGAGGATTAAACACAAAACACCTGTGAGGCAACACAGGTGTGTGAAAAACAGGTGTAATGACAAGAGGAACAATGCTGAAACACACCACCAGGGGGCATAATCCTTACACAAGAGGGTTTTTGCAGGTACTTAAATTTTTTTTTTAATTTTTAAATATTTTTAGGCTTTGTCAATAACAATCGTGTTTACTACAACACCAAAA